GAATGCCAACTACTCAACCCGACTACTGGTACAACAATAGCACAAAACGGTGCGAACGGCTCAACTGCGGCACCGGTAGCCAAATGTGGTGCTCCCATACCACTGATTGGGACCCTATGCGGCACTGCGTGAACGACCAGTGCGTTTGTAATACCGGTTATTACCCTGACTTTGCCAATGGGAATAAATGCACGTTTGATGTCAAGATCATCTTTATTGTATTTGGCTTCTGTGCGGTCAGCGCCGGTATTATTTTTGGTTTCATTAAGTATTTTCATAATACTAACGCAAATTTATATTAACCTATTTTATCAAGGATCTTTATTAAAAATTCATGTCAAAAATACTACTAAACATAATGTTTTAATTTGTAATTTTTATGAAATTATAAAAAAACATTGTTTTTAAAATGTGACAGTACATCATATTATATTAATACTGGTTTATAACTAAAATATTTTATATAATAAAATAAACTGGATTATAATAGCTAATTAATTTTTAATACTGATACTTGTTGTACTTATTTATTACAAAGATAAGTTTCAGTTTTATTTTTAAACCAAATCTTAAATACCAATAAATAATATTTAATTGTATTTAATCGGTATCTATACAGATAATATACAGCAATTAACAGGGTCAGTATTAATAAACCCAGCACAAGTAGGTAGATATACAAGTAATCCACTGGTTCCGGCCTTACTTTATCAACACATTTATACCCAACATCCCTGTCCTCCACGTAGTTATCATCGCAATCGCAATAACCCATTGGATTGCAATACCGGTGCGGATCATACGAGTCCTTACGGCAATACTGCATAGCCTGATGGGAACAGTTGGTGAACAGACATGTCTGGGAAGCCCTATCAAACTCATATGTGGCCATACATTGACATAACTGTCCGATGCATCTCTCAGTTCTCATATCACAAGCGCTGTTAGACGTGCAGTGACTTTGATAGGTATGGGATGGACGGGTGGACGTGGGTATGGGTACGGTAGTAGACTGAGGCTCAGTAGTGATGGGTTGAGTAGTTGGCATTCGTGTGGACCCGGATGTTGTTGCTATGGTTGATGGAGTTATGGAAATAGTAGTCGGTGTAGATGTCGGCATAGTTGTGGGGACAGTAGGTTTAGCGGTACATTTGCCTTCGTGTTTGATGTCATTTTCATCGCATAAACATTTACACGAACGACACTTCCGGTGCTCATCATAGGACAGACAGTCTATGTCATCCATACATAGCAGTGCTTCACATCTCTTAAGGCATGTTAGCAACTCATATCCCGGTGCACACACGCACCTACCATTTTCACATTTTTCTGATGGATTATGGCACTGACCATTATCAATACAACTTTTATCTAAGGTAGGTGCACCCTTAATAGAAACACATTTATTACCTTGTTCAGGGTCATGGTTATAACCTGGACTACAATAGAGCAGTGTCCGTACAGACATTTTTCATGAGATGGATCGCAGTTTATATCGGAGCAGTTAAATGGGTCGCACCTACCAGTCTTGCGGTTCAATAATGAATCTACCTCACGTGCAAATACCATGTTTACAAACACCATGTATACCACCGGCGCAATCGGTATTTGTTGCACATTTTGTATGATTTAAATATGCACTGGATACAAATTGGCTACAAAATATAACAATTAGTATTAGTATTATATTATAATTTTTAAACATATTTATAATTCAATTAACAATTATTTGTGAATGAAAAACTATTTTAAACTTTATGCTTGGTGCAATAAATTTTATAATAATATAAATTGTGGACCAATACTGCAAATGTAGATGTACCAGATATTTTTTTAAAGATATCTAAATTGACCTTTAAGATGAGCATTATTTATCATACAAACTGTTATTAAAAATAATTCCGTGGCTTAATATTAAGTTAAATGCAATAAAACCTAAAATTGGGAAAGGTCTTCTAGTGATATTTAATTTATAATTCTTATTTTAATTTTGTTGACAATTAAAATGTTTTATTGAAAAATTAATAATATTTTCATAACTGCTATAATTTTGCATGTTGAACAATGTTAACATATTTACATTAATAATATTTAGTGCCAAACTGTAGCACATTTTTTAATAGCTTTGCGGTACAGTTGCTACAAAATATTTTCTTTGTCTCATCCATTTGATTGACATTGTATTGATCCTGATATTAAATAATAATTTATATACAATGTGATAATAATGGCGATATTATTAGCTGTTAATTCCCAGGTATTATTTATAAATATGTGGGATTATGATAAATCAAAAATATTTATTCACAAATTAAACTAAATATTACCGGTATATCACTAATAAAATAAATGTATGAATAAAGTAAAGTAGTATTAAATATAAAATAAATTTATATTTAATAAAAGGATATTTAATAAAAGTATAATTAATAATTGATAATAAGCTTAATATTTATTTCATCTTTATTAAATTAAAAGTAACAATTTTGATTAAAAGCAATTATATTGTAGTCATACGAACTACAATACATTTTATTACATAATGTTTTATAACATAATGTTTATAAGTTTAAAGTTTATGTCAAGGAATGCTGTATACTTACCAAAAGCTATGAAATGTTTACAATGTAATTGAGAACTAAATACAAGGACTTTCAATCCATAGACATTCACATACCATAGCATTATATAAGACTTACTTATCCCCCAGACTTCTAACTTAACACTTAAATATATTTTGTATTTTTTATTTAATAAAATATTTTTAAAAATATAAAATACAAAATATATTTAAGTATATTATAAATATTAATAATGTTATTTTTTAGACAACATCTTGAAAAACAGATAATTAATTTATATTCAAAATATTTTAACACAGATGCAAATATAAATTATTTAAAAATCTTGTTTCATATTTATATCCTGGTAGAGTTTACACCATATTATACAGGTCTACAAGCCCTGCCTAATTCTTTGACTTCAACAGTACCTTGCTGACATGCAATCGCCACTATCCACATCACATTCTCTCAAACTATCAGGCATATTGCATTCACTATCCAGCTTACATTTGAAATTTACTCTGCATGAATTTGATGCTTTTGTCTCCTGCTTATAGTTGGGAGCGCAGAGGCAAACAGTATTGTCGAAACAAGCTTGGTGATCTGTACCATTTTCCTTTAGACAATCTTGGTCAACTTTGCATGGTCCAATTAACTTTGCCATCATAATATCGAGACATATTATAGCCATAAGTGTTATCCAGATAATTTTAAAAATTTTATGATGGCTGTACATATTTCCAATTTTAAATATTATATTTATTTTCTATGATTTGAAGAATAAATATCACAAGAAATACAAGAATTCTTATGAAGAGAAAAGACGTTTCGCGATATTTAAGAGGATTTACCCTCGAGTGTCAACTGGACAGCGCAGGGGTTAGTAACCGGCGTTAAAGACCAAGGACAGGTATAAGTCTATATAAATAAATTATAATAAATAAAACATTAGATAACTCTTTTGCAATAAATTAAATTACCATGCACAGTTTACTTAATAATAAATTCTTAATTAACATTATATTCACTAGTGTGGCGATTGTTGGTCTTTCTGTGCTACCGGTGCTATTGAAGGCAAGTGCTCATTATAATATATTATTTATGAGCCTTGCATGCTTAAATATTCAGAGATGGCCAATGATCTTGGCTCAAAAGTGCGAACTTATAGGCTAATATAGATATAATTAACCACGCTTATATTTCTAGTAATTAAATTAAATAATAATCTTAATAATTAATATTATTATTAAATACTAATTTATAACTAGTTAGACCCAACTAGTTAGTACTATAAAATTACAATTCCTTGAGGATCAAGGTGATATTTAGGACCCAATTTATAGCATAGAATATTAAATAATGCATATTTGATTAAATATTTAAAATAAATTTCCCAAAACTTGAGGCCAATTGGCAAAAAATAGCGGAAATCTGGTCTCACTCTCAGAGTCTGGTCTCACTCTCGGAGCAGAATCTAATGGACTGCTCGACAGCTGAGGGCAGCGATGGCTGTAGTGGTGGCGCCGCTGACGAGGCGTTTAAATATGTCATCGATAACAATGGCATCGATACGGAGGCCTCCTATCCATGTCTGGCTGTCCAACAACAAGAGTGCGCTTATAACCCAAGCACAGTAGGCACCCAATTAACCGGGTTTACCAATATAGACCCGGGCAATGAGCAGGCGCTACAGTCAGCTTATATAATAACCCGAGTTGTAGTTCTAACGTCGATGATCTCGATCATTGTATGACTGTTGTAGGCTATGGTACGTATGACAATGGGACGGCCTGTTGGTATCTGAAGAACTCCTGGGGCACCGGTTGGGGCGTCAATGGCTATATATATGTGCCGCGCAATCAGAATAACTACTGCGGTGTCGCCTCCGATGCCAGTTATCCGACGGGTGTTACCACTTAATGACCAAAAGAATAGTGTTGATCATTCTGTTGCAAATTACTAAACATTTTATTAATACATTTTTTGTAATAATTATATAATTGTATTTCGCTGTCAGACCGGGTCTGAAGTTAGGAATAAATTATTTGTTTTTATTTTCATAAAACATTTGCTATTATTCTGTCTATCAATGAGATGTATCTCACGCCATATAACACTTGATGTTATTTTGTCAATCGAGCAAAATTCGCTTCAAAATCAAGGTATCAAGGTTGTCCAGACTCCTCGGCCTGAAGGGGAGGGGTCCGGTGAAAAACACCGACAAACATAGCATAAGCTCATATAAATAATAAGTATTCTCTCTGTAATTGGGATGGGGGTATTCACAAGGGAATCAAAATACCCTCCCCTGGAACACCCTTTGGAAATCCCTGTTAAAATCCCTTCCAAACATTTTAAAATTCAGATTTTCGCAGGTGGCATAAAACCTATATAAGTGCGCGCCTACATTAACTTACAATTTAAATATTTAATTTAATATTATCAATTTATAATATAGACTACCTTACCACAAAAAACATAATTATGAAGCTTATTCTACTAACCCTAGCACTGGTATGTCTGGTGGGCGCCCGCCGACACATACCCAAAGAGGAGGTCGAGAAAGAATTCAAGTCATTTAAGGTAACAGTATTTTTGGGAAAAAATTTACACAAAATATGACTAATTAATAATTATTGTTAAAATTTAGGACAAATTTACCGTCAAATACTTAACCGCAGAGGAGGACTCGAAACGTCTGGCAATATTCGATGAGAATTATCGGGGAATTGTGGGCATAATGAGGGCGCGGATCAGGGCTTGAATTCGCATCGCCTGCGCGTCAATCCGTTCGCCGATCTCACGAACGAGGAGTTTAACGCACAGATGAAGGGCTATCGCCCGCCGGCGCGCAAACTGGGCGCCGGAATGCAGACCGTGTTCAGTGAGGAGGTTTTAGGCGGTGCGGCGCCCACTCAACTACCGGCCACTGTCAACTGGACCGCACAGGGCTTAGTAACACCGGTTAAATATCAGGGACAAGTATGCATTAATTTTACATTATTGTATCTAGCTCAATTAAATGATCATCATTTAGCTCATCTTACATAAATAAATTGAACAAATTGTTCTTTTACTTGACTAGTGTGGCGACTGCTGGACATTCTGCTCTACCGGTGCGATTGAAGGTAATAGTATTGATAATTAAATGATATAATGTAAAAATTGCCAGTGAAACCTGGTCAGCTGATGAAAAACACGGGTCAATTAGTCTCGCTGTCGGAGCCGAATCTCAACGACTGTTCGCAACAATATGGTAGTGACGGCTGTAATGGCGGCAATCCTGAGGAGTCGTTTCAATATGTCATCGATAACAATGGCATCGATTCGGAGGCCTCCTATCCCTTCCTGATGGCCGATGGTAATCCCTGCAATTATAACCCTGCTAATGTGGGCGCGCAGATGACCGGTTTCGTGCAGATACCATCGGGCAATGAGACGGCGCTCCAGTTGGCTGTGGCCGCCGTCGGGCCGATCGCCTGCGGCTTCGACGGGAGCGGCGATGTCTTTCAGTTCTATAGCTCGGGCTACTATAACAACCCTCAGTGTAGTAATGTTAACCTGGACCACTGTATGACCCTGGTCGGCTACGGCACTG